TGATCTGATTGAAAATGTACCTCTGTTTGCGCGACGCTAATCACATCCCTGTTCAATGCCTTTGTCAGATTTCCTAAGTTAGGAAGCATAATTTGTTTTCTGAAAAACGTGTTTGTGAAACAGAGGAGAGAACATGATTAAAGTCAGTGTGCATAGCAGGGGGCGAGTGTTTGATAGGGACAACAAGGCTTCAAAAGCGAAACAAGTTTTAAAAAACATTAATAGTGCAGCCAGGGAGACACAAACAACTTCTCGTTCTGTCTTTGATAACTTTGAAACCTCCTGCTGTTCTCCAGCAGTACATGGCTCTTTCTTTAAATGTGCCGTCATGTTTGGAGAGAAATCACTTTCACGTTACTATCCAGTGTTTGTGTTCGACGAAAGTCCTCTTCCTAAAATATCCTTTCCTTACAGACAGATGAAACCTGGAATGCGTTGGATAGAGGGATCACAGGGGATCAATTACATATGTGACGCACCTTTTTCTAAAAGTTCCTTTTTCCTCATGTTTCCTGTGTTTGTGTTTCAGGAGGAAACACACTGTACCTGTGGCAGTTCCTGATGGAGTTGTTGCAGGACCGACAAGTCTGCCCCCGCTACATTAAATGGACAAATGCCAACGCAGGAATCTTCAAGCTGGTCAACTCTAAAGCAGTGGCCAGGCTGTGGGGCAAACACAAGAACAAGCCAGACATGAATTATGAGACAATGGGCCGAGCACTCAGGTACTACAGGAAGACTTAGACTCAACAATGTCAACATCATAACATGGTCATGTCTTTTCAATGAGTCTAGATCCATGGTTTTGCAATTTTAACGTTTTACCTTTGTGCTCATGCAGGTACTACTACCAAAGAGGAATATTGAATAAGGTTGAAGGCCAGCGTCTTGTCTACCAGTTCACCTCTCTGCCCAAAGACATGATTTATATCACAGACGGAGAAGGCACCAAAGAAGAAGAAGATGACGAAAATGACGACATCAGTGGCCATGACGATGGTGTGAGCGATAACTCTGATGACAGCACGATACCTTCCAGTGACCAATCAGTCGAGGAGGAAGATTCACACCCACCACAAAAGAAGATGTTGACCTCCTCTGTCAAAGCCCCGGCCACCCAGCGGAGCAGACCTTCTCACAGACCCTCTGCCCAGAGGGACACCGTCCTGCGGCCCACCAACGCCAGCCTGATCCAGGAGCAGCATTTGCCCATTGTGTCTGCTGAGATGCTGCGGACCTTCCAGAATTTGCAGAAGGTCCAGTCCCTGCAGCCTAGGGGTCACGCCTCCGTCTTTCAGACAGCTCAGCTGCTGGGGAGTCTGTGTGAGCAACAGGCTGCAGCAGAGGGCTCTGTGGAAGGTCAGGATGAGACGTCACAGCCGGGACAGAAAACCTTACAGGTGGAGACTCCACAGCTGGTGACGCTGACCAGCTCTGACCAATGAAAAAAGACCAAAACCAACTACCCCCAAACACACACACAGACACTCCACTCACTCAGGACCAGTTACAGAGCCGGTCTTTGCTGTGGCTGCACACCAGGGTCTTTATATTGGAAGTCTGTAAAGCCTGATTTACGCTCTTTTGTTGAATCTATGCAGAGCCTATGCTAATCATGCAACATTAAGTTAAGTCGTTGATCGAAGGAAATTTAAAACAAAATACTTTTGGCGGGAAAAAAATTCTATATTTCTATTGGTTTTAGTCCTTTAATGTAAGGATTAGCTACTTCTTGTCAGCTCAATGGAAAGGCTTTGGGGTTTGAAAGCAAGTAGAGTCATCATTTTGAGATCTGGGACATCGTAATGAGCACTTATACATCTTTTGGACAATTAAGGTTCCAAATAATTATTCTAATCATCGTACAAACGTCTGTAACATCAAAGCACCAATGAGGAACTTTCAGTCTGTGTTGAATTTGGCGGCACCTGTAGACAAGGTGGCATGTCTTATTTCTTTGCTTATCTTGTCTTTTACATACCGGTATGTAGGGAGTGTTTTCTGACTTAAATCTCATCCTGCTGTTTTTCAACAGTCAAATGTAAAACCCATTGTTTCTTTGCAGTGGAAAAAGGCTTTCCTCAGCCTTTTCTAAACACTCGTGTGACACCTTCCCCTGGCTGCGGTTATGTGGATTAAGAATAACTCGATAGAAATAGTCCATCTTGTTGCAGACAGTCTCGTTTTCACATGCATCTCAAAAAAAGGGCATCAATATAAGTTTAAGTCACAAGCAGTTAAAACCTCCACACAGGGTCTTTTTTTTAAAAGTTATTTTTGGGGACTTTTTACCGTTATTAAATACTTAGACTGAAACGACTGCAACAGGTTAAATATGCACACATTATACACATGTAAATATTAAGACTGGCCATCACTATTCAAGTTTTAGCTCCATGTTGAATCCTACAGACTATGCCAGCTATTAGAACGGTAATTTCAATACAGTTCCCTATTTAGTTCTCATGTGAAGTTGCCAAGTTGACCAGTGACGGTTATAGAAGTCTGTGTTATAGTTACATGTAGTTACATCCCTCTTTAAGGTATAGGCTGCTGCGTTGATTCAACACAAAAGTGTATATGTATCAGGACAAAGAAAAGGAGTATTGATCCAGGATGATTATTTGAGAAGTTGTAGCAAAAGTCATTCTAGATCACTGCACCCCCTCCTGATGTGTAAATAAGCAGGAAATTGACAAAAAAACAAAATCTCAAACCGTTTACTTTCTAAGGCAGACTTTAAAAGCTCTTGTCCTTTATCTCAGCCTTAAGTTCTCTACTGCCATTAACTGAACACCAAAGAGGACAGACATGCACTGGAACCTACTGCCTCACTGCACCTTCTGCAGACACTCCCTCTGCCTGCACTTCACCTCCAGCGTCGTGAAGCGAAGCGTTCTGCTCACCACACTGTGCCCTTGTTTTCTCTGCTCTTCCTCTTGCGGTCTCCCACTCTGTAGCTCTGTTTTACCATCGCATGCTGAATCATTCCTCTGCCTCGAAAACAGCTTTGCACTAATATTTACCTCTGCTGTATGTTTCTTCTCTTAAGTGCCTGAAGCTGTCATCCATCCTGTCCCTGCTTCCTCTGTGTCTGTAATCATGAGGTTATTGAGGGAAAACATTCCATATTATTACTGTTTTTTTTTACTGAATTACTGAATATGTTTGTCTTGTGAAATGTTGAAAACAAGGGATCACTGTTCTTTTTAAATAGTACTTTGGCACTGCTGCTGTTGTTTATAGTTTGTGTTTCTACACAGTGGACCTGTCTTTTGTTGACAATCACCAGTGAATTTGGTTTTGTAGCCTTTTATTGAGCTACTGTCGAGTATATTCCTTCTATTTAGCCTCTCTGCTATGCACACAATCTGTTCAGTTATGACACATGTATAAATGCATATATGGACCTCTGAAGCCTTGATATCTCTATGTGTTGTGTGTTATATACTGGTTATCTGTGATCATGCTTGACTTTGTGCCTTATTGCCATTTTCTCCCTCAGGTTTGTAAAAATGTTGTCGTCTACTATATGCAAGGCTGAAAACAGCTTTTCTTCTATAATGAAGTCATGCTAGCTTAGTTATGTTAGCTTAGCCTCACAAATCCAGCCCAAAGAGCTCACCTCACTCCAAAAGAAGACTGTGCCTGTATGATTTAGGCTGGCTTTTGTGACGCTAAACTTTAAGATTTGTGCCTTTACATTGGAGCCCTATGAAAAACCGATTTCACTTCACTCCAGAGTAAGCCTTTTTTTTTTTTTCCACTTCCCTCACTTTGCATCCTCTGGAGGTCTCTTGATACTGTAAGTTTTGCTGATATGGATTTGTAAATGTGAAGCAGAGGGAGAGGTGGACTTTCTGTTGCTTTATTTTGGTCTGTTTGCTTTTGTGCAGTCTGAAAATATTAAAAAGACATGAAATGGTCGATATATAAGAAATAAACTTAATTTTATCATTTCATCGTTACTCTTTGCTTCACCCCCCACTTGTAGTTCACCAGTATCTTTTGGGTTAAATCAATCCAACACATTTAACAAGTAGTGTACGTAAGTAATACTTTGGTATTTTTTCTGTAAGTTTATTTAACTTTTCTAAACTTCATTTATCCTAAAACGTTTTACTAAATACATATGAAAGAGCCCTGAGATCACTTCTGTTGTGATTTGGTCCCATACGAGTAAAAATTGCCAACCTTTATCAAATAACATATATCAGGTAATGCAGCAATAATTAAATTTAGTTGGCATAGAATCAGTCTTTCTGCTTCAGTACTTACATTTCTAGACGTTCAGATTATTTTGAGTATTTCTACACTGGGGTTCCACTGCTCTGGCATAGTCTTCCAGTCACTGCAACTCTATACCAGCAGACTGTATATGTTCAGTATAACAGTAGTAAAAACAGATGCGTCTGTGGCATCCATTGATATATCCAGACACTGATTGACAGTAAGGGTGTTTTATACTTCACTGCCCTTTTTTGACAGCTATGGTAGCTAATTAATTTGCAAATGGGAATAAGCTTATAAATATTTAAATAATGGTTTACATTAAACTTCTAAAAAAAATGTGTTTAGCCTCGCAAAAATATTGCCCACAATAGTAGAAGAGTCCTTTAGTTTATTTCATATACTGTTGATATTAATGGACAAAGCCTGAGTGTCATCACTTGTACTGCAGGGGGGCTTTGGAAATGCTGCCTCACTTCAGCCAACCTAACATCAGGCTAAGAGCTGGAGCTGTCGATGAACTGCAGGATAATGCACTTTCACGTTGGCTTCCTTTTTGTAACAGCAGATGATGCCGCTTAGTTTATTCATATCATAATAATGCAATAGTACGTTCAAGGTGAGTTATTCAAAGTTATACCATACAGTATGCATTATGTATAAAACATGTATTATGTATGTGTATATGTGTTAAATATATAAAACATACATGAGACAGCTGTCCTGATGTGACTCCTCCAGGTCGGCAGGTGGCGCTGTGGCGGTGTGAGCGCTGTGCAGGCTGCTGACGCTATCACGTTTCAACAGTCTGCCCACCTTGCTAGAACTTTCCTGCCAGCACAAACATTGAGCCCACCTGCAGCGACGCCATGGCAACCGAACGGCAAGTGCACGACTTTTACAAGATGTATCGTAATTGTGTTTTAATACATTGTTTTAAAACAAAATGTTGACGGCTGGTCTCTCCTGTCGCTCCAGCAGCTTCTCCGACAGCTTCATAGACGAAGACCCACAGAAAGCTCTGCAGGTAAACATCAGCCTTACTTTCTTATAAACAAACAGAACATGCGATTTTTTTTACAAATACGTGGTTTGTCTTTCAGGTTAGCACAATAACCTTGAGTTATTCTGACCGGCTTTTAAGTGAAGTCACTGATTTTGAAACTGAAAGTAGCTAACCAAGGAAGCTAACGTTTCCTGTTAGCATCACTTTGAATGATAAGTTACAGCTCCTTTAACAAGTTAGCAGTGTTTACATTATCCTGACTTACTAACCATTTAATCCAGCACTAGTCTGTCATGTTGACTTTCTAACGTGCTGATAAACACTCGTTGTTTAGCCTACATGTCAACCTGTTAGCATGACAAACATTTAGTTCAATCTGTGACTAATTCAAATGTGACATACTCATAAATTATGTTTACAAGTTTGTTATCTTTACGACGTTTTTTTTAACACTTTCCTTCTTGTAATTGATAATGGAGACTGCATTATTAACACTATTACAACTGTATTTGCAGGCCACGTTTGATATCCTGTTATTAATGCTACAGCTAAAAGTTTATAAAGGACACAATTCATCTTATTGTCTCTTTATTATTAAACGTTTGGACAATATAACACAGACTAGAGTTTAAAGTAATACAAAGAAAGGTTTAGCTATGTTGTGAACAGAAAATGACATTTTTGTATTACCAACATTACTTTGAAAGCCCTGCAAAACGTCACCTTTAATCTTTGTCATTATGTCATAGCTTCTGTGAGAAAGGAGAGGTGAACAGTATCAGGAGAGATAACATGTTACAAACACAGTAACCGTGTTTCACAAACATGCAGAACAGCAGAAAGACGGGGATTGTTTGTTAAAGCTTGTATTTTATTTATGTTTATCTAAAGAACAACGCATCATTCCTACACTGAACAATGTTATCACCATATCATAAGATTTCCTCACGTTATCCTCATCTCTATTCACGTTATCCTCATCTCTATTCACGTTATCCTCATCTCTATTCCTCCAGGCACTAAATGAAGCATTGCAAGGAGAGTCGGACAACGCTGAGTGGTTCTGTCAGCGAGCCTATGCCCACATACTTCTCAGAAACTACAGCTGTAAGTCTACATACAGATGGTATTTTTTTTAAAGTTTATTTTGGGGATTTTTATGCCTCTATTAAAGAGGACATATTCTTCCCCCTTTTCCACCTTTTTAATCAGTCCCCCTGTGGTCTAAATGAAACATCTGTGCTGTGCTTTGGTCAAAACTTAACATGAATCAAGCACCAGAGGAGGTTTGTGACCCTGTATAAACCAGCTCTCTCAGAACGCTCTGTTTTGGTGTGTGTGTCTCTTTAAATCCAATGAGCCCCCCTGAGTTTTCCCAGTAGACATCAATCCTCTGTGGCAAGACTAAAAATGGCGGACCTGCGCAAAAGTTTTGCTCAAGGCTGGGGGTGGAGTCCATGGGAGGAGATATCAGGGGAGGGGAGTTTTTTTGTTTTTTTTTTTGTTTTTACCAGAATCAAACTTGTGACATCACAAGTTGAGCAAATTTGAAACAGAGCATTTTCCTCTGTGTTGTAAGACTTATGCAGACTACATACAAAGGACTGGATTGATGTATTTCACATTTTGTGAGTCAGTAGACACTCAGGTTACCCAAATAAATGTTCAAAAACACTGTAAAAGTGGATTTTTCACAATATGTCCCCTTTAAGATAGAGTCGGAAATCCGGGAGAGATAGAGTGGGGAATGACATCATAGGTCGGAGTTGAACCTGTGTTGCCCACCTAGAGGAAATGGGGCGCACTCACTAACCACAATGCTACCAGCACCCTTACCCACATATGTTTGATTTAACAGAATGGGGTTTTATAAATTATTTTTAATGATTGCACTTTTTGTAGAAAATAGAAATATCCTAAGATTCTATTTAAAACTTAAAAATTCTTTCTTCTTCTTTTTTAACCACCCACAATAAATGAGTCGAAGAAATACAGTCCAGACAGTAGAAATAGCATACTCTGGATGTCTTTGATTAAATATGGGGTCCTGTTTAGCATTCACTGGAATATATTAGGGGGGCATTAATGTTTTCTCAGTGATACACTCTGGATGAATATGTTATGAGGATCATTGTGTTGTCTTCTGTCCTCAGGTGCTGCTGATGATGCCAAAATAGCCCAGCAGCTCCAACCAAACCTCCCTCTTGCTTTCATCCGAACAGGGTGTGTACTATGATATGATAATGAAAATTAGGGATAGTCACACACATACAGCTTTTTGTTTATGTGCTCAACCAAATGACTGTCTCTCTCTCCCCCCACCCCCCCCTCCAAAAAAAATAAAAAGTTTGACACATTCGCAGACACATTTGAACCCACATTTCACAGAGTTCTGTTATATGAAGTCAGACTTTTCTCTCCTGGAGGGATTAAGCTAACGTACCAGAGTTGTTAAACTTCCTTAAAGGGCCCACAATCCAGATTTTGTGTGTCAGAAGGGGTCACTTTAATTTGAACATGATTATCTAATTTAAGTGTATGTGGCATGTTTTTCTCTCCCACCTGCAGAATAGCAGAATACCACCTGAACCACTTTGAGTCAGCACACGCAGCTTTCACGCAGGGACAACAACTGGATGGTGAGTGCAACTTATTTTGGCCTTGAGTAAAAACTTTCCATCAACCCACTCTCTACCAACCACCAGCAGTGTCCAGCAGTGCCCTGTCTGCTTCACTCTCCTCACTGCATACACAGTGCTAAAGCTGTATCACCAAGCCTTAGGACTAAAATACAATGTAGTAAGAAATTACAGTGATGCTGATAGGTTTTCAATTAGCGAGTCCCTGGAACCCACGGGTGGTGATTTGAGTGAGTCCCTGGAAAATCAAAATAAACTAGTAATTCTAGTACTTATTATAGAAGACAAGACAATTCTCACATTTAAGCCCGTGTTAGAAGAATAAAATATTGCTGTGTTCAACCTCAAATTCAGTATAACATAAAAAGACCGTTAAAAGAAATGTGTTTAAAATAAAAATGGGTCTGTGGGTACTTCCCCAGGAAATATTGAGGGTGAAACACTTTGATTCTTGTATTCTTGTACATTTTTAGACTTTAGACTTCACTGTTCCCATGTGCTTTTCACAGCCTTGTTTCTGTCCAACAGACAATACATAGTATACATGCACAAAACACGGTGTACAAAGCAAAAAATGTCAAACAGGAATCAAAAGTTCCCATTCTGGTCTGTTCAGCGATACCTTTTGTTCAGGGCAGGCATATGGCTTTTCCCAAGGTGAGCCATTCTGAAGAAGAAGAAGATGAAGAAGATTTACTTTATTGATCCCTGCAAGGGGAAGTTTCAGTTTTTACACTCTGTAAGTCATGCTACACACACACAGGCTGAAGTATATACACGCATTCACACAAACAGGATCCTATGGACATGCACTAAGGGAGAGATGTCAGGTGGTGGGGAGGGGGTTTGGTGCCTTGCTCAAGGGCACCTCAGCAGTGCTCAGGAGATGATTTGGCAACTCCAGCTACCAGACCAACTTCCATACTTGGTCCGCACCGGGACTTGAACCGGCGACCATCCGGTACCCAACCCAAGTCCCTACAGACTGCACCTCAGTGCTCTGTACCTCTATCCTGAGGGGAGTGGCGTGAAGTGGGTGTTCAGTGAGTGTGTGATGTTCTGTTAGGTTTGGTGTGGGGAGACCAATTATTCTGGCAGCTGTTGTTGTGATGCATATTTTAAGTACCAATTTATCATGAAATAATTTCTAATTTTGTAAAGGGATACTTTTCTCATTGAAATATTAAGTATCATCTTTTCCACAGTTGTCTGATGTAAGACGGAGACAAGTTGACTGAAGGTCACGTTTCAGAATAATGAATAATCTGGATTTTAGACGGAACAAGGGGATTTAATTTCTATATTGTTATTACTGCTGGTAACATTTTTTTAGTTGATTTACCATAAAAAGACTATATGCCCTTTTGAATACCATCTCCAGTCCTGAAAACAGTTTTTAAAACATTGATGTGTTTCCATGACAGACCTGTTGAACAAATCTTGGTTTAACAGTTATGAACTCTTACATCCTCGTCTATCTCTGCCTCGGTCACTGCTTGTGGCAACAACATGTTTTAACTGTGATTCAGCTTACTATCAGTGTTCTTCTATAATTCACCTGCATGTCAAAGCATGCTTGATAAAAACATGCTATAAATAAGGAGTGCGGATGCTGAGTATTAAATAAAGAATAATTGAATACTCTGATTGTGCTGCAGGAAGAGAGAGAGACAGAGAGCATGTGGACATAAGTGTGGTTACAAAGCCGTGTGTTACCCTGTATCACTCTCAGGTCAAAATGTTTATGAAATCCACTGCAGTCTGCAGTCTTTTAAAGATGTTTTGGAGCTTTTTGCCTTCTATTGATAGGACAGCGGATAGAGGAGGAGTGGGTTGGACCCGGGGCCGTCCGCTTGGAGGACTAAAAACCGTTAGGCCATGAGAGTTGTCTCATATGAACAGGTCCTCCGTAAGCTGAACTTGCATTCAGAAATCTGCGTTAAAAATTTTCATTTAGGAAAAAACGTTTAGTTGGGATGCCCTTAGCTGCAGGGCTCTTCTCAGAAAACGTTCAACTTTTGATTACGATACAGCGCCGCCACCACCACATCGACGTTATGCAATTAGAAATGGAAAAACTCACCAAGTGCAGTCCTTGGAAAACCATCTTCTTCAAGAAAACCCACGTCAAATTTGAAGAGGGCTGGAGGCGGTGTGAAATTTGACAGGGGTGGCCACCTAGTGATTTTGTTTGCAGTAAAAACCCTGTTTTAAAATGAGTTTGTTGTTCAATGTATTGTTCTGTGTGGAAAAGATGAGGTGTGTCCCTCGGATGCATTGATTGTGACTGTACTGCATCATTTTAAAATGTAATGCTTCAGAGAATCAGGACGCATACCCAGCAACATCCCTGATTTATATACAGACTCTTGTGTGCCTCGACACTTCAGCTGGGGTTGTGAGCCATCATAGTTTTGATTTCTCTGTCATTTTGTCAGTTTCATTTGGCAAACGCATACCTGTCTTCAATAGAAGTGGGGAAAAAATAGTTTTATGTTATAATCAAGATTCATATTTTCTGAGATTTTAAATCAAATCATAAATTCCAAAAATATTTTTTTTGGCTAATCCGTCACTCCCTGCTAAGTGCATTGAAACAAAATAATGTGTAATAGGGTTACATGACAAAAATATGACATTTTCTCCCCAGAAAAATTCAAAAGTCAATTTCACTGTGAAATCAAAATCTGCTGGAAAAACTACCGTTGGCCAATATTCCCAACCAACTTCTTTGAAAGAGATTTTTCAGGATTGCATGGAGATGAGATACTCTTAACGGTCAGACCAAACGATCGGCAAGAAAAGTTAAGGCCAGTTCCTGTTTTGCTCACTGATTCCATTTTTTCCTTGCGACGTCATGGCAGTGACATCAGAGTGTTGTTCTTTGACTCAAATATTCCCAATATGTTTGTATAACGAGAGACCTTGTTGACCTTGTTGTTCATCATTGTCAACACATTTGATGCTTTACCCAATTGTTTTTGTTGTAATGGCCATTGTTGGTGCATGGCTTCAGATTTAGGCGTGTTACTACCTTCTGTAGATGCACACTTTGTCCACAGAACCTGAAGAGGCTTAAGGAGTAAGACCACATTTGTATTTGTTAAGTAAGCAGATGGAAACATGTTTTTTTTTTTTATGACCACATGGTGTTGAGACAGGTCAACCTGAGTGATGGATATCTTACTGTTTTTTTAACCCAACAGTGACTGTCAGAAGCTCGGAGCCGTAGCGCTTGCTCTGTGTTTGGGTAGGAAACAAAGATTTGATCTGTTAAATGTCACAAAACATGCTAAGATATTCAGTTAAAGGCAGGGTTGGTCATTTTTAAAAACGAGTATGATTTTGAAAGTAGCATTCCCTCAGTGCTCCGTCTACACCCACCCCCTCCCCTCTGTGCTCTCTCAAAAGCCACGCCCCCTCACTTACATGCACGAGCGCCGTTGCACCGAATGCGCACTTCAGCTCATCGCTTTGCATTGTGTAGAAACTACGTCGTCTCATGTCTCATTAAGCGGTAAGTAAACTCACAGGATAAACTCTGTCATCGCTGTCGTGCTTTCAGCGTGGGCTAGTGCACGTAAGGGGTAGAGAGCGAGCAGGGAGACAGGGAGGCGCGATTGGTTCACCAGATTGGTACCTCGTGGCAGACATTGGTTTAAGTTTTTACAGGCTTACAACTGCTACAGATATTCTTTGTTCCTTTTTCAGAGCACATGAGTTATTAATGTCTGTCAGGACCTAAAGACAATTTCAACCAAAATCTTAAAAAGTGTATTTGGAGAAAATGACTAACCCTGCCTTTAAGGTCAGTTTGTCATGCCTACAATGACAGAGTTTCTGGGACTTTAAATCAAATAGTATCTTTATTTAGTGAGTGATTATGGAAATAGTTACAGCAACACGATGTGGAAATAACTTTTAGTGCATTTACTAGCTTCGAGAGTGTTAATAAAATAATCATAAAGGGTTGCTTTGTTTTGATATACACACATTTAAATGATTGATTGATTATAAATCATGTAACAAGAGCGTCACTTTTTTAATCATTATTTTTGTTAATACTAAAATTGGTGAAAAAGACAAGAGAGACAAGTGGAGCCAGCATGAGGGTTAATGCTGATGAAAAACGCTTTAACAACCTTAATAATGTATATATGTTTTATACACATTCAGAGTTACAGAGAAGCCGATTTAACGTTGTGAAAGATGTGCTTTAAGTACTTTTAGGAGGGTTGACCCTATAGGGCTCTAATGGTGGCTGAAAGACGCCAGAGTGTTCAGAATCACATCAGTGGGAGAGTGAACAGAAAAGTAGATCGGCTCTGGGTCTGAAATCTATCTGTGTTTTTATTTTATTTTTTTAAAGCATAGTATCACAGTATATTATACACCATCGATACGTGTACACAAAGTCCTTCTCCAGTCTTTCATATAGGTGTTAGTGCATAGACATCAAAAGAGCCAATCGAGATCTGTCCTGTGTGTCACGCCTCAGTGCTGAATAAATCTTTCAGACTTTCATTATGAAGTCCAGGTGAATAAATCCATTACTCTCTTACATCCAGAGTGCTCTCTTTACAACCAACATGTCTATATTCACCATGGCTACACTTATACAATACATACCAATGTGTCCACTTCAACTTTCTACCTCTTATACGCTTTTTTTCAGATGCTCTTCCTGTAAAAGTGTTTCCTACATTGGTTGTGCGCCCAGGTGTATTTACAACCACCTCAATGTATCATTTATCACCATTTATGCATACAGTATAGAATTTATATGTAATCAACCTGTGAATGATACCTATGTACTAGTCGATAAACTGGTGGACGGTCTGCACTCACTCTCTACCACACAGGTTCATGTTGCTAGTACTGCCTGACACATGCTCTGTGTCTCTGCTTCAATACAATGATTGAGGTGTTATGTGTTAAATATGAATCTCCTCATGAGGTTGTTTAAGTTGTTTTTGAGCTGCCGGCTGCTGACAATGAGACAAGCATCTCTTCTCCTGTTGTCTGTCTGTCTCTCTCGCTCTCTCTCTCTCTCTCTCTCTCTCTCTCTCTCTCGCTCTCGCTCTCGCTCTCGCTCTCGCTCTCGCTCTCGCTCTCGCTCTCTCTCCCTCTCCCTCTCCCTCTCTCTAAAAAAAAGGACACAAGACGAGATCCTAATTACAAAACGTGCAGAAAAGGTTTAAAATTGACAAAAAGATCAAAATGCAGGAAAAAAAGATTTCAAGTTCTTGAAATGTTTGAGTGTCATTGTTTGAGTCATATCAAATACCATATTTTCTTTTCACGTTGGAATTAAATTCATTCATTGTGATTTGATAAAGTTTGAGTTTTTTTTTTTACTCTGTACAATGTTTATGAAAAGATGTATGAAATAAAAAAAAGTGGATCTCCTTTGTGCCTCAAGTACAACCCAAGGTGATGTTTAATTGACATGAGTCATTTCTGCTTTAAAATCAGAGAATCAGAATATCTTCAGCTTTCTCCAGGACTTAGTCAAACCACGTTAAACATTTTCATGATGTTTCGATTAAACTTTTTTACATCAATTACTGTATACTACTTTTATTTCTTCTTCTTTAAAAGCGGAATGAAAGAAAAACATTTTTTTCTGTGTGTTTTCTACAGGGTCTGAAAAGTCCTTTGAGATCTGGATCAAGCGCTGTGAGGAGATGATGGGGGGTAAGTGACTGAACTGAGACTTCCATCGTAGCCGTTATATTATTGTTAGAATTTAGAGCTGATATTGGTTTCAATGTTAGGATTAAACAAAAATCTAATCGCTCAAATGTTTTGTGTTTCTCACACAGTGTTGCTTACGTCTGTCTCTTGTGACAAAAATGTTTTTGGACTTCATGAACCCTTACCATTCCTCGCTGTCTAGTTTAAAATCTTTCCTCTATCATCAAAAACTAAACTAAACGTCTCAGCCAGGGAGCTGATCAGTCCGTCTGATCAAACAAATGAGCTTGCGCACATCCATGAGTTCACAGTGTGTGTGTGTGTGTGTGTGTGTGTGTGTGTGTGTGTGTGTGTGTGCGTGCTCACAGTCTTAGGGTGTTTAGGCAGAGCTGCTTATTCCAATAAAAGATGCATGCCGTGTCTGGGCGCTGTGTTTCTGTCTGCCGCTGATGCTGGAGCCCTCTGGATCATCTCAAGTAAACAAGAGCATGAGTTTTGACAAACACGCTTCACACCCTCGTGCACACGTTCTCCCAGGGGCCGTATGATTCATCAGAGTTAACGCTACTGATGTTTGAAAGCTCCCGATGAGACCTAGCCCCTTCATAGCCTGCGCTCAGACAGCATCCAGACACACACACACACACACACACACACACACACACACACACACACACACACACACACACACACACACACACACACACACACACACACACACACCAGGGTTTACATAGCCCCTCCCTCTAAAACTTGAAAATACCCTACTTGAGCTTGCTAACACCGGGAGCAGTCGCTGAGTGTTTCTTCTGGTGACAGTGTGTTTACCACTAACCCACAACACTCACACAAAGACACACACAAACCTGGTTATTCCATCACATGTGGCACCCTGCCTGTTTACAAATACACAAACACAGACACACACAGTCTGCTCCCCCTCCACTCTATTTGAAACGCGACCTCGTTAAGATGACATTAACACGCCTCCCATCAGCTCATCTCTCTCTCTGATGAACTCAGTAAATAATGCATGGTATCATGCTGGATGCTTACTGGAGCTCACAGGGCTTTTACTGGGCGTGGATGGACCAGTATACAAACTGGTGGCAAAGATGGGAGAGTGTGTGTGTGCGTCTATGTTGAGGCGCATCATTTATTTTCTGTTTCTGTTTCTGTGTCTGTTTAAAAGTTAGCATCTGGTTTAAACCCTTGTAATCATAATATTTTAGAGACTAGACCTCAGCCCAGGCTGCCTGAGGTGTGTATGAAAAAATTCCTACAACTCAATCAGATTTCTCTTTCCTCTTTTCAGAGCGGACACAGTTCTGCAGCGGCAACGAGGTGAGCCCCTCTGCATGGCCACATGGGGGCAGTAGAGAGCTTCTGCCATGTGTATGCTCCTGCTTTTAAAAAAAGGAAGACTGACTGAGCTTCTTTTGTGTGTTTTTTTTGTGTCTTCTTCTCACTTTCTTTCTTTTTCTTTCATCCCTGTGCATTATCACCTCATCATCCTCTCTAATTGTTATTCTTACTCGGGCGCTGAATGACCTGGCAGACACCTGCGGTTCCACCTGTGAAGTAAGTACATTAATATAAATCGGTTTTATTTTCACCATGTCTGTCTTATTTATTGCACCAGCATAAAGATTAAACATCCTGTAAAAACAACCATCGCAGATGATATTTGTGTTTAATGAGCTGATTTTTATTCATACAATTAAACTCTGTATACTGTATTCATTACTTTAGTGATGAATACTGAAAAAATAAGACTTCCAACTGCTTGATCAGTTTTGCTTTTGTGTCCTGCAGACACGACTGGTACCAAACAGAGTCTCAAGTCATCGTCACAGTCATGGTTAAAAACGTTCCCAAGGATGGTGTGTGTGCCAACTTCATGGAAAAAGAGGTATAAACACACACACGAATGCACAGTTCAACTGAAGTCACTCTGGGTTTTTTTTCTATATCGTGGTTTTTGTGTGGAACAGAGATGGGTTTCGCTCTTGGGCGTTTCCTCAGGGGGGCCCATTAGATGGGTCTCATACACACAGACACACAGACATACACCCCCTCCCCATGGACCCATCTATGCCTCCAGTGGTGCCTTGTTAACATTGCCCCCAAAGTACAGATCTAAGAGCAATTTACCCTCCCCAGCTTCTCCAACCTCCTAATTGTCTGTAGATAGAAGACATAACTGATCTCGGATCAGCTTCAGAGCCCTCCAGGGACGACCTCCTTTCTTTCTTTTTTTCTCTTTCCTTTGTCTCCTTCCACTTGTCTTTTCTCTCTCAGAGGGGTAACTGCAGGGCACCCCAGGGAACGGCTTTGTCTTTCCTAATAGAATAACAAACGGAGTTTACCCCATTTCAAAAGAAAGAGTTCACTCTCTCCGTATCACACAGCCACTCGTTAGGCTCCTTCTGTGGTGGAAAGTACAGATAAGTTCATGTATTTTTTACTAGGTCAGTATATACAAAAGAAATTAAAGATGAAAGGCAGTGGTTCCAGTTCTATTCCCTGGTGACTGAGTGTGTGTACCTACAGATGGTGCAGGAATTCAACTGGAAATGAATTTTAAGTCTTTGATGGTTTTTGGAAATTGCCAAAAAAGCTACTGTATCTAACTTTCTAAGCTTTTATCCATGATGTTCTACTTCCAACATACGTTTGAAACCAAATTAGAAAAGTCCAGTTTTAGCGAGATGGTAGGTGTTGAATCTCAGAAAATGACATGACGTGAAATGATGAACTGTGCAGGCAAGTCGAGTGTTTCTTCAGGTGGACATGTTTAAGTGGTTTTGCCATCTGATGTGTGTGTAACGAGTGTGAGGCTTTGGGCCCCAGTCCAGGACATGTCCCTCTAACCAACAAGATCCCACACATCCACACAGCCCCAGTGAGTGACAGGCGGTTAGGAGCTGTCTGACCCCTCCACCACCGGTCACCGTGTGGCTGCAGGGGACAGAGCGAGGATACTCCTGGCTGCCACAGCAGCCACATCAGATCACTTTCCTCATAGCTGACACCTTCACCCCATCACTACTGATCTTTCTTTGTGCGGTTAAATGAATTTAATCTATATTAATGCTGCAGCTTCAACACAGGCAGTGATAAATCTGTATCTAAAATAGAACAGTGCTGAATTCACATGAATTGAGGCAGGCAGAGAGCGAAACAGATGTCATTTTAGTGGATGAAAGCAGGACAGAAAACGAGGTGAGGCTCAGGAAAGCAGGAGAGAAAGGGAAAACAAACTGGATCTGGAATAGGGATGTTCCTAGAGACTAACTTCTCTTGTTGATTAAACTGATATTGAAATTCAGACTAGTCGACCTGTCTAATGGGACGAACCACTCAGACATCAGTCAAAATTGAGCACAATTCATTTACGCGGCTAAAATCATTTTGCGTGAAGTCTATTTAAGAAACAGTTCATCACATTCTGCAAAAACAAAATTGACGGTTCTTCTAAATACTTCTGAAATGTGTGACATTAAGCGGCTTGCATTACTCTGCGGGTAAATCATGTCAGATTGGTTTTCTGAGTGCCGCTAAGATAAGCAGTGCTAGCACCCCCAGGTTACGGTCCTCCTGCAGGTTGAAGTCCACATGTTGTATGCCAGTTTAACCTGCCGCAGCTTCTACTACCTGATGCTGTTAGTCTATTTTACTGACCTACTGTACATGATCCAGGCAGCGGAGCGGGAAGAACAGGCCCATTAACCAGAGCTACAGCCCCTGCTAGTGGTGGTTGTCTGCGTTACAGTTAAGACGCAACATTTAACCATCATCGTGGGACTGTGTGAACATTTTTTAATAATTAGTCAACCCAGCTAGTAAACCTGGTGCCGGCTGTATTAAAAGTCTGTAAAAATGACGATCTGAAAGTACACTTTAGTAATAGTTATGGAACAAACTTGATTAGGACTCTCTTACTTATTTTTGTTGATTTCTACCAAATGAATGCCATCCAGCAGGGGCTAATCTCTAACTTCTACTGTCTGTGATCTCTTCAGCTCTCTGCCTCGATAGGGCTGACATCAGGGGAGAACTACGACCTCAGCTTCCATCTCCTCCACCCCATCGTCCCCCACCAGAGCAGCTTCAAGATCCTCAGCACCAAGGTACCACACTCTGTATCAGCTCACGTAGTGAGTCAACATGCATTTGAGATGATTGGACGTGTTGTTTGTCAGACACCGTACTGTGGTTCATTACGCACACATGAGGCGGAAACAAACTGTGCTTGCTTTCAACAATAGTTATATTAAATTTCCCACTGTGCACTTAAAGGCACAGAAAAGAAATGCTATGTTAGAGCAGGCAGGACAGAACAAGCTGGCTTTCTTTTTAACTGGGCTCAGAGTTCTTGATGACAAAATGACTTCAAACACAAAGACAACAAAGCTGTGAGCATACAGTAAATCACAGTCATGTCATTTCTGGATTGTCTGAGGACAAAGATGTGTATTCAGGTCAAGGTAAAGTGAGGGAATATGTTACTACTTCTGCATTATAAAAGAAGTGTATTGACAGACGATATTGTGTAACCAGTTTATGCACGTACGCTAATACTAGATGGTGTTTTCAGATGTGTTTTTTCCTTTGCAGCGAGCCATGCTGTAGTGGAATATAAAAACTGTTTACCACTTTAATACGTTTCTGTCACTGAAAAACATAAACACGGAAGAAACAACATTTTTGGGTCACAGAAGCGCTTCGACTAAGTTTTTGAAAGTCAATGGAAAGTCACAGAATTTTCCCTCATAATCAGCGAGAACACTGTGTGTAGCCTCGGCGTCCTGGTAGTCGCTCTCAACAATAAAGAAGCAGACTATAAAACGTGTCAGGGGACATCTTTTATGTCCCTATAAAGAAAATATGATGTAGTAATGTCACACATTGGAGAGATGCAGGTGCTTCTCTGACTCTGCTTTACATCTCTGAACTCCAGTCTCTGCAGAACATCAAATATTCTCTCTGAATTTGGGATAGTGTTGTCCCGACAGCTGAGTGTTGATTCTTTTTTGATGTGAATTAAACTTCAGATTTTAAATGTTGGATGATTAAAAAAAAAAATGGCAAAGAAGAAAAGGGTTCAGGAGAGTTAAAGCAGCTAACGGTGTGTGTGACTGATCATTACTTGGGTTAGCTTTTTTGAGATTAACATCATAATCTCTTCAATAATTTAAAGCAGTATAAAGTCGGCTGTCACTACCCATAATTCCTTAATGCTGCTAAAGCTCACTGTAGCTGAAGTAGAACTGAGAAAATCCACTCTGGCTGTATACAGTGCGGCTCCTGTGGATACGTTAGCGCGGTTCAGATGAGCAGCTAACAGGAGATTCAAACATCTGCACAAATCCTCCCGCACACACACACACACACACACACACACACACACATTTATCAGGGCCGTGCTCGCGGAGAGTTCCTCTGCTCAGTTTAAGGTGATTATGGGCCTAATGAGTAGGAAGGGCACTTTTTTTTTTTTACTAAGGACTAATTAGTGTGTATTCTGGTTGATGTGGGCTAATGAGTGTGCTGGCTGAGTGTGTGCTGATTCAAGGTTGAGACCACTGTCAGGTTTTAGCCTCAGCAGATCAAGAGGCAGGTTTCTGTGCGAGATGTTTTTTATTGTTAGGGGAAGAATTGGTTTTAATGGCATTGATCTGATCCTGTCTTGCCAATACAACATTACCTTGGATCCTCTGTATTCATTTAAACTATTATAATGGTAGTTAATCAGAGAATAACAAGGACAATTATTCTGACAGATACAGTAATTGTTGTATGAATCATGGGAGAATTTTTTTTTTTTTTAATCAAAATGTTTTTATTTTCTCTGAATTTCTGTCATCACAATCACAATTATGTCACATTCGTTCTTAAACTAGATTGTCCTCTTATATCTGGAAAGGAAAATGTTTAGGCTCTGACTTCTCTGCAGCATTTGATCATAATTATAAATCAAATGTTTCTCTTTATTGGAGAACTCTGATCATCTGATCTCGCACTCTGAGACTCTTCTATTTCCAAAATAAAATTCTGATCAATTCAGTAGCTCTCCTTTTGTGTGGAAACTCAGTGGCACTAATATTACAACATGTATACATGTATATTGACTTAGGCGCATAGAAATTGAAGAACAGATGTGACAAAACACAGAAGCCTACATCCAGTGTCTGCACAGTATGGCATTATGAAAAACTGCCAATGAGTCCCAGCCTCAGAGCATCCTTATGTCCTGTTCTGCAACCAGTTGCAGGAGATGATTCTTTTGACCTTTTGAGGTCAGTGGACTTGGACTTGTACAGCACTTTCTTTGTTTCCCACATTACTCAAAGCTGCTTTGACACTATATGTCACATTTACACCACATATTCACACACTCATGGAGAGGACGCTACATAAAGTGCCCATCATGATTAACTGATATTATGACAAGTCAGGTAAAACTACGACATAAAATGCCTCAGTAGAAATTCATGGTCCAGTGTCTTGTCCAAGGACTCTTCATCACAGGTTCAGGTTCACAGGTGCTTGGAATCGATCCCCCAACCTTCCGGTTGAGAGACATCCGACTCTCCCACTGAACCACAGCTGCCCCTTTATCCAAAACAAATACATTATACACACTATAATAGCTAGAATTTTCATTTTTAAAAACAAAAAGCAAGAGTCTCAGTATTTTGCATCTTCACATTGTTGATTTGTCGGTGACATCATCATGTTTCTTTTAATGCAGTGAAAAAAATGAGCTAGTGGGCCCAGATGAATGTTTTCCTCAATCTGTTTAAATTAATTGTGATGGTCATTAGTATAAACAACAACAACAAAACATTATTGCTGGAGCATACTTTAGAAAACTAGGGTTAAAAGCATTTACAGATATTCCAAGAATCAACGTCGCATTTAGAAATAATATGAATTGAGACCTTTTTCTGTTACAGTGGGAACTATTAAAGCCTTTGCAATCTGATGATTAATATGAAAGTATATATACAAACATCAAACAAGTTTCACATTTGAGGGGCATCAAGCAGATAAAGAAACTCCCAAGATATAAATCACAACACGCCAATTAAATGAAATCACAGAAAGAGGTGTAGGTACTCACTCTCTCTAATGTGGACTTAAAAGTGTTAAACAGTTGCAATAACTTTCTTTTTATTGGTTTATTCGTTTATTTGGCAGCAAGGCCACGGGGGAATGAAAAAGGCAGCTCTGGACCACAGGTGCAGGAAGTCTTCTCTCTAAAGTGCCTCAGTAGCAAAAACAAATTGATATGTGATTATTAGCGCTGTACAACCTGACGTCTACATCATGTGCATTTTGTCCACTGGCTGTACAGTGCCGAGCAGAGTCTGACCTGCACACAAACTGCCCCCTCTCAAAACAGCACTCACTCTCTCACTGCCTCGCTTTTCCATGGCAACAGCAGACACTGCATACCAGAGGTGCACGTGGGCTGCAGCTTAAACAAGGGCTCAGTCTTACAGAGACCACAGCTGAGGATGGTCTTAGACTATGTTTCATCTGTCTACAGCCTCTGCTTTCTTCCACATTTACCTTCTTATCTTTGTGTTTTCAATCTTTTACATCAGACACATAAACACACACACACACACACACAATCTCTGTATCTCTTGCTGTCCTGCACTCAAACATACACACATACACTTTTCTTTACAGAGTGTGCAAACCCTCCTCTCCTCCCACAAAGCCCTGACTGTTCCCTGGTCCACTGGGCTCCTCTGGTACACATGGCCCCTACACACCCACACATACACACACACACACACACACACACACACACACACACACACTCACTCACTCCATGAAGCTCATAAGCCCTCACTGTTAGGAGCTTTAGAGATGTTTTGAACCTTTAAATGTTGCAGCTAACTCTTCTAAAAGTCATCAGGTGAAACGTGTGTGCATACTGAGAGAGACCCCGACAAACCCAGCCGCCTGTCGGTGCGTGTCTCATTTACATATTTTGGAGCCGTTTCATTTTTCTGAAGCCAAGAAGCCACTGGGGGGAAAAACATTCAAATGAACAACGGCATCAGCAAATCAACTTTCTCCAGATTGGCATGCATCCCTAATGAGCGTTTAGAAAAAAAATTGCATTGCCCTCGGAGCTGTTGATTCCCAACCAACGTCAGTCTGTCTGTCTGTGTGTGTGTGTGTGTGTGTGTGTGTGTGTGTGTGTGTAATAGGCTGCCCTGCACCCTGCGCTCCACAATGTTTACGCTTCATCTCCTCGCTGTCTTTAAAGACAACTTAGCAGGGGGAAGCTAAGCTGTCCAAGAGCACACACACACACACACACACTCACACACACAATTGCAGAGGCTGAACAGTAATCTTTCTACACACTGTGTCATTTTTTCAAAGTATTTGCTGTGTGTGCGTGCTTGCGTGAGTGTCGTCTGTAGCACATTATCGTCAGTGCGACCTCCTCCTGTCCTCCCCAACGACAGACATTCCGACCGCAGGGGTCACCGCGACAACGGGGAGCCAATTACACACCAGTGTGTTTGATCAGAACAGACGGCTGACGAGCACACACTCAGAGGCGTGCGCGCAAACACACTCAATGCAATTCGATCAACACTCGCTCGTTCATTCAGCTCCGAACTCATCTCTTTTTTGGAAAATAGCTTAAGTGGCGTCTCCGCTCTTTAATTTGCACGCCTGTCAACGTCTAAGAATGTTTATATTTATTTCATTTCTGCATCTTTCAGGCCTTGTTTGTATTGAAATCCGCAATATCTTGGGAGAAAAAAGGGAAGAAGATGCCGGTTTAGGAGTTGTGGCAGTTAGGAGCAGGAGGGGGTCGATGGGTACAAACGCATGTGACAAGCGACACGGGACCCCGATGCCCCTCTGTAAATAGCATGTGTGTGTGCGTCTACATGTGTGTTTGTGTGTGTGCTGTGCAGATTGTATGGTCCACCCCTGGGGTCCTGTGGGTGGTGGCCCCTGTATGTGGCTCTGCTGTCACATCCCTTCACGAGCCGTTGCCTCGCCTGTCACACACACAGAAACGCATACAGAGAGACACACACACGGCGCCTGGCCTGCCATATCCCTTAAAAGCCAGGAAACACAGATGTGGCAGCAGATTAATGTTGTATGGCTCAGAAGCACGCATACAAGAACACACACACAATTTGACACACACATAGCGGATCCTCGAGTTCTGCTGTGTTTCGCACCACACAAACGTTAAAGTCAATTAAGGGCTTCTGCCGAAATGGCTGCTAATTCACAGGTAACATTAAATTAGTTTTGTCAAAGATATTTGGTCCTTTTTTGTCCTTAAACAATTACAATCAATTCTTAACATAACTGTCAGACAGGCTGTCAACAGGCTGCCTTGTTAAAACTGAAAAATGATACTCGACAAGCTGGATATCTGGACTAACATTAGTTAAAGATAACATCAGTACATGCAAGGGTAAACAAAAAATCCATAAACACATGAAAGAAGACAGGCATATCAGTCTGACTGGCAGTTAGCAGTATATGTCAGCCGTAAGGGCAGGTTTGGTAAATCCACATTTAGATCAGTACTGAAGTCTTCAAAGAGAGCCTGAGACCCCTAACAGAGCTCAAAGCAGCACCTCGGCCAACGCTGCAGGTGCACCTGTCAAAAGAAAACCAAAAAGTGATTTGACACACCAACAGGAGCTGCCTCAGAAAATCAATGGGAGCCAGTTTAACAAATACAAACAGTCACAATGGATGATCAGAGTTTATAATAGATGAGCAAAGAAAGCAGTCATTGGGTGTGTGAGGCGTGGTATACCCTGAAAAGGTCACCAGTCAATCACTGGGTTGACACATAGAGATAGACAACCATTCACTCTCACATAAACACCTATAGACAATTAGAGTCACCAATCAACCTCATGAGTCTGGACTGGGTGAGGAAGCCGGAGAGCCAGGAGGCAACCCACATAAAACATGGCACACAGAAAAGCACCTGTCTGGCCAGGGAATCTAACCAGGAACCTTCTTGCTGTCTAGCAACAGTGGTAACTATTGCATCAGCATGCAGCGCCGTGCACGCTGCAGCTACTCTATTAAACGTCACATCGTCATTGCATTTTTGAACTCTTTATCAAACATCATAGATTTTCCTTTAATAGCGATACGTAATCCAGTTCATTTCATATTCACATCGGCGGTTAGAGACCACTTTAGGTCTTTTGTTCCCCTGACCACACCTGGCATCAGAGCTGGATGTGATCATGTATGATATGTTGTACTAGTAGTGTGGCGCTATGGTGAATTCTTTTAAATATCAGTCCAATCTGCTCCCTGGTTTCTTTTTTAACGGTGTTGTTCTTTGAGTGTCAGAAAGCAGTAAAACATGTGTTAATATCTCACAGCTCTAAAGGACTTATTCAGAGTAATGTTTTTATATAACCGTGGCCCAGGTCTTATGGCAAAGGCTTGTGGGGGAGGAATGTCCGATTTGAATTAACACAGAATCAGGCTGTATGCACAAACTTGCAAAAAAAAAAGAAAAGTTTGGTGACACATTCCTCTGAAGGCTGAATGTGAATTATTCGGGCTGTAACCTGTATTCTCAGCAGAGATCTGCTTTTTTTAGTCTCTCAGCCCGTCGCAGTGCAAGCCAAAAAGTTAATTTCGGACACTGCACAGATGCCTCGCTGTGCACAAGGCCCTTTGTGGGGCAGAAAGCGCTGACACACACCTAAGTGATCTATCAGTATGCCGCTACTCGCACTCACTCGTCACGTTGGTGGCGAAGGCAGCAGCAGTGATCACACTGTCTCTTACTTCCCTCAATCTGCTCCCCTCACTCACATTTCACTCTCTGCCTCTTCCTCTCTCACCTTGTCGTCCTCCTGGTTTCCTCTTCTCCGCTCGCACCTTCATAAATTAATCATCACATCGCCAAGCAGAGCAGAAATGTTCCTTAATTGCACCAACATAACCAGCGCTGTCTTTCACATGCACACATATCAAACGCACATGCCGTTAATGGGTGGTAGGGGGTGAATATGAGGAGGAGGGGGTTGGCATGGCGCTACAGCGTGCGTGTCGCTGGTATGTGCGCTGTCAATGCAGCTCAGTGTTAAAAGTGTCCACGTCCTCTCTCCCCTCATTGTTTTTCCTGCTCTCCCATGTTCTCCTGGTGTAATGATTTGGATCAGACGCTGCTGTGTGGAATTAGGATCTCCCCCCTCTCCTTCCCATCCCTCTCTCCCGCGCGCTCCGTCTCTCACACTGGCCCTCTGGCTGACAGGCATCTCATTAGTGCAGTATGTCTGTCAGTGAGGTTCGAGATTGAGCTGTGCCCCCGCATATCCCTGATGTCTCACACACACACACATGCACACACACAGGCTGGGTTGACAGGCAGTCTTTCTCTCTGGCCTCAATAATGATCTGATGTCCTGTACTTTTAACATGTCACTGTAATGGATGCGTTATTTTTGTTGAAAGAAGCCCGTTTTGCTAAACATTGTTATCTCCCTTGTTTCCTCTCCTCTCCCCCCCCCCTCTCCTTATCACTCTTCATCTGTCAGGTGGAGTTCAAGATGAAGAAGACAGATGCCATCAGATGGGAGAAGCTGGAGGGAGAAGGACAGGAGTCCAACATCAAACACTTCAATCCCAGTCAGTCTACAGCTTCGGCATTTTACGCTCCTCTCCTCTCCTCCCACCACCGCCAACCATCCCCCTGTCTCTGCTCTCATCTCTCCTCAGCCTCTTCTTCTTCTTCATTTCTGCTCTTTCTCTCGCTCTGCAAAGATCAATATGAGCTCCTGTGTTTGTCTGTTCACGCTGAAATGAGAGTGGGCAGTGAAGCCCTGCTGGAGTCTTTCATTAGTCTGACGGTGAAAGTAGGCAAAGAGAGGGAAAGGTATGACGGCGAAATGTGACTCAGTGTTTTAGCCCACACAGTCCCATTACTGACAGGATTAATTACTTATGTAAGTGTGTGTGGAGGGGGAGTGAAAGTTAAGTGGGCAGCCAAAAATCTCCAGCTAGTGTTTATAAGAGCATGCTCATAACTCGGGCTGCCGTTACATTCAAACAAGATATTTGACATCTGATTTTCTGGGATCACATCGCCGTTTATGTCCAAGCTTGGCCTGAATATGTCTGCAGCGCGTCTGCTGCTGTACTTATGTAAATCTGCGTCTGGATTACATTTCCCCGCTCTCCTTCTCCATCTCTTGTTGGGATTATACAGTGGGCGTATTTCATCCTGAAAATATAGAAATCAAATCATAATGTGATACTTCAGCTTTTCAACTTGGATGATTCAGTTGCAGAGTGAGCGAAAAGGAATTCATTTGATGAGACTTGGTGTGATGAGATGATAAAAGTCTAGTTATTAAAATTGCTTTCAATTAAAATTGCAATTAAAAAGACTCTTTCCACAGAAGAAATTAGCTGTTACTCTGAGGCTCTTTGCAGGGATCTAAGAGTCCTCTGACTTTTTCTTTCCATTACTGAAACTGTATGAACTTCTCCCCATCAGACCAGTACCCGACATCGTCTCACTACACCCGTAAATGGGACAAGATCGTGGTGGATATCAGCGAGGAGGAGAAAAACGAGAAGCTGGAGGGAGATGCAGCGCTCAACAAGCTCTTCCAGCAGATCTACTGCGACGGCACAGACGAGGTCAAACGAGCCATGAACAAGTCTTTTGTAAGTATTGGTCTCAAGTGACAGTGTTGTATTCCTCGCAATAAATAAAGCACCTGTTTGTTGCCAAGCCATCTCACACCGCCTTTTTTTAAAGGAGATCTATTATACTCATTTTCACCGTTAATGATGTCAGTCTGGGAAACCTATAGAGTAGCTCAAAGTCCTTCTTATTTGACTTATACTGGCGTCAGTAAAATCCCTCATTTCAGCCTCTGCATGGAACGCTTCAGTTCAGCTGCTGTCTCTTTAAGGACCTTCTCCTCACCTGCCCTGTTTCCTCCGATTGGCCAGTTTTTTTTGCAGTCACAGGGAAATTTGAGTGAGCTTCCGGCTGGGCATGTCTTTGATAGAGGACTCAGGGCGAGCATGTCCTACAGCTCCACTCTGCTTCAACTTCTGTGTATCTTGTTTTTAAAAAAAAAAAATTTTCAGAGATTTAATATGAACATCGAACATCGTAACATTAAATGTATCTATTTAAAGATGGATCAGTATCATAGATCTACTTAAACAAGTTTGTTACCTAGCAGCTAGGAGCCATCCTAAAGCCAACGGAATCACCCAAAACAAACCCCATTTTCCTAACTAAGAGGGACACTGAGTAGAAGTTCATGTTGTGTGCTGTTTGTTTTTCACAACACATTCAGAGCCGTTATCACTTGTCCTGTTTTCATTGTTAAAGTCCCCATGAAATGAAAAATACATTTTCACAGTTTTAATCCAGCCTTACTGTTTTAAATGTTAATTTATTCAAATTCAAATAACTTTATTTATCCGTTAGGAACTTGAGTTGTGTAAAAAAAGCATCAATGCACACACAGCTCACGTGAATGACAGCACAGCACAAAAAACAAACCACTCTCTCACACACACACACACACACACACACACACACACACACACACACACATCACCATCCAAAGAGTCCTGAGTGAGTGAAAATATATTTCACTAAAGCATTACCTGAGTGTTTTTACATCAAAATAACCTTATTTCCACTTCCTGTATAAAGTATCAAATGTCTGTCCACTCGTCCTGCACTAAGGGGCTTTACTAATTTATCGACCAATTATCAAGCTTTGTGGAAGCTAACGATCCAATCCAATTCATCCCCAACGTTACGTCTCGCCTTTTATCTTATGATTGGTTCTACCTCGTTTCAGTTGAAAATAAAAATCACGACACGGCAGTCATATACTCTCCCAAGTTCAGTTTCATGGGGACGTTAAGAGGCAGCTCAGTTCTCAGATGCACTTGTTAAATGTGTAGCTAAAGTGCTTACGAGTGAGGTTTTGTCATTCTCTGTAAAGTAGAACTATATATCTTAATAAATATCATCCCCCAAAGCTTAAACCATTCAGTGATGAGGTACAGCTAGATAGGAAAATACCTTTTTATCTGAACTAATCACAAACATTTAGCAACGACAAAGTGTTGTAGTCAAGACAACACTAACCGAGACTAGAGTGCTCCTAGACTGAGACATTTAGGGGTCACGACCAAGACCAAGGCAGGACGAGACTGAGAAAAGACAAAGACCATAACTATCACTGAAAAATCATCACCTTGTCACCCTCTTAAACCTTAACACCAGGAAGGTTTCGGCCGAAACCGTGGAATAAAATTTATTAAAAGTTATTTGTTCTTATTGAAAGAGACCTTTTCCTGCTAATCACAGTAATGACATTGAAAAATAACCAATTTAGTGGTCTTGACTGGTCTTGATTTAAAATCCAGAGTCCTCCTAGTCCGAGACAAGACTGAGAACTTCAAAAAGGCATCACAAGACCGAATTTGAGTACTACAGCATTTAATAATGATTCTACTGAAGTTATTACAACATATCTTAAAAAGTGTAACCCCAAGTGTATCCCCAGCATTTAGTGTGTAAACCAGACTTCATTCAAATTGTTTAACTGCTGATGCCAGAAGTAGAGCTGGTCTGAAGGTATTCTGAGAGGTTTTTCGTTGCTGTTCAGTAGTTTTCCAGTAGGACCGTCCTCTCGTTGCCTTTTTGCCTCTGCCTACATCCCATCTCTTTCCTCCTCCATTTGAACAAGTTACTCATCTGTAAATCTAAAACATACAGTCAACCATCAAAGTGAAATGAGTCACAATCGTCACTCCTCTGGAGGGCCAGCCATTGTACTTATTTTAGAAAATCAGATCGCAAACAAAGTCTCTTCAGCCTGCCCACAATCTGAACTGACAGCAGCCCACAGACACAAACAAGTTCATTTGGGACATCACAGCTGTTTCAACATACATTGTTTACCTGAATTGTGTTACATTTGCCACCATTATGATAATAAGATTCATGCTAAAAAAAAATCTTCTTTTCATTTATTTAAAGCACAAACAAGTCTGTAAACAACTGTGAAGCTGCATATTTTTATGTCCACGCTCATAATAGTGAGTAAAAGCAATATAACACATGCAGCAGTGACAGCTTGTCGATTTAATGAGCTTCTGAAAGAGTGCCTTTATGTGTACGGGGAGATGAAGACTGAGTGACTGCAGCTAAATGTTTATTGATGATTGGGGTGAATCAGCAATCAGTGTTGGTTGGGATCCATGATGTTGGGGAAAAAAGGCATGGACAAGTGGAGGGACAACTTGTGGAGAGACATTTTGGAATAATGAAAGTTTTCACAAAATGACCTGTGTGTCACAGAACTATTTATATGCAGGAGGGGGGCCCAATGGAGAACTTAAATTCTGGCAGTAGATGTATCTATAAGAAGGCAGACATGTGCAGGAAGACCTGGATACTTCCTGTCTTTTTAGGCAAACAGTCAGTGATACGATCGACTGTTTAAAGACAGCAAGATAACTTTTATTTTGTCAGAAAACACTACCTCTCTGGAAGGGCGTGGGAGAAGGCAGACTCAGAGGGCAGAACAAACCCATAGCTGTGGGAGTGTCACCCACCCGGGGGAGGGGTTACTGCCCTTTGTGATGTCATGAAGGTAAAGTCTCCAAACGGCCTGTTTGAGCACACATTTTCAGGCAAATGTGGAGCAGGCAAAAGATGGGGAGGATGGACTTTTCTCATAATTGGATGGTTTGTAGACAGACTAAGGGCACATGGAAAACCATGGTGAAGTGGATGTTGCATAATGTGTGACCTTTTTAAAGTAGAAAATCAGTAGCACATCTACTCAAGCAGTGGTAAGCATGGAGCTGCATCTTTCACACAAGCGCACTTGGGGATTTCTGTTTTAGATAACAAGATGACGTCATGGTGAAGAACTGCTGAACACTTACGAAAGGATTTGCTGTCATCTCAGACATCCGACCTAACGCTGACGGTGTTTAAACATTCATGTTGAGTTGTCACTTCTGTGTTTGGAGCAAAAGACATGAAGAGGAGTAAAGGTCAGCTAAAAGGGCAATAAGAACTTTGAAATCTTTGACTTAAAAATACCCCAAAAAATTAGGAAAGGAACTTAGTTACTGGCCTGGGTAAAAAAAAAATGAAAACCAGCTTGTTCAGCCGTGTATGCTCAGTGAACAATGCTGAGGTGGACTTGTCTTTTTTTTTTATCTCACCTTAAAAAAAAAAACCATCCCATTACTTTCAATGGCTGGTTGTCATGTGGTACCACTGGCAGACGGGGTTCGGGTTAACCCATCTGAAAGCTGTTTGCTACTGTAGCTGCCATTAAATGACAAAAGAAAAAGAAAGCATTAGTGCCAGGTTAAACAACTGTAGCGTAACAGACTGCTATCTAAACAGAAAAAGCTTTTACGTAGTGTAAAGGGGATTTCAGGTAGGATGTGGTGGGCGCTGCATGCCGCTGTCGAACCCATTTATTGTTTATTTGAGTCTTGGTGCAACTCTCCCCAGGCTGTAAATTGCTCCCAGACTGAAGTACACCTGGAACGGGTTGTTACAGTGCTGCAGCTCCTGGACGAACCCAAACTCCCCCAAATCCTGTCGTTCCCTGATGATTTCACAGACTCTTCTTCTTCTTTGCTTGCTCTTCAGCAGAAAAAGAGCGACCAGGGTGTTCTACTGAATAGTGGACAGATACATTGTGAATCCAAAAAAAAAACTTAGCTCAGAGAATGTGTGTGATTAGTTTGCAGATTGATATTTTCATCTGTATAAACAATCCTTAAACCTCATATCATTGTTTGTGCATACCCACAAGCACACCTGCATACACATACATACTGTATACACAACCAAATTCCAACCCCTCGTTTAACTCCCTGGTGAGTGACCATAAACCCCCACCCATCCCCCAATTAACTTTCCCTTCTGCTGGTAACAGATTCTGAAGGTGAGAGACCATGAGGTTTCCAAGGACAATATAATTGAGCATCTCTTAACTTAAGAAGCAATCTGTTTTACTTTAAATTAAATGATCAATTATACAATCTATTTTACCTAACATTGTTAAGTAGTTTCTAAGGTTAAAAATACCTTGAAGGGATGCTTAACTGTTAGAATGTTATTGGCATTTTTGGTTATTTGTTAGCATCAAGCAAACAAAGGAAGTCCCGGTTCATTTGTGAAGAGAGGAGTCACAAGAAATCATTCTGATTTTATTTGAATTTTGGCCAGTGCCTTTCTAGTAGTAATTTTACGTGGAGTGTACATCCCTAGTAGAAGGTGTTCTATATAAAGAATTCTATTTGATTAAATCCACTGAAGTTAATTTCCTGTCTGTCTCCGTCCCCCCTGCAGATGGAGTCAGCTGGTACGGTCCTGAGCACCAACTGGAAAGATGTGGGCAAGAGAAAAGTTGACGTCAGCCCACCGGACGATGCAGAGTTTAAGAAGTACTGAACACCTCCTGTCTCCTCTCTCTTTCTCTCTCTCCTTCTGCTTTTTCCTCTTCCCCCTCCTCTTTCTTCATTTTGGTCCATCTAAACTTCCCCCTCTTCCTCTCAGCCCCTCAAGCTCAATTCACACATACTCCGTGTGCGCCGCGGTCCGTCAGCACCGTGCACTACGTTGTACTTAGCTGCCACTCTAGTCAATCATTGTGCTCACACAGGGCGCTCTGCAGTCCGTCTCCGGAGCGAGCCACCGACGGCACTACGCTCTGCTTCGTTTCAAATACGCAGCGAGTCTATTTTCGCCGGAGTACGCTGCAGGCACGCGTCAAGCTGGACAGAATATGACAGCCCGGACAGGAAGTCAGACAAGGAAACGCACAGAGCATCCGGTCAATTTCAAAATAAAACACAATATACGGACTCGCGATCGTATTTTTCATCACTTTATCAACATTACGTCAAAACAGACACCGAATTAACAACAATGCATCCTCAGAAAGACAAAGCAACATGTTGTTTGCATGTTTTTCTCTTAATTCCCGCGGGATCTTGTAGTTCTCCTGTGATGTGTCATGGGTGCGCTGACGTCCCAGAAACGGATCCAGTGTGAACGGGCGCGAGCCGTCCGACGGCGCAAAACCGTGACGCTGACGGACCGCGGCGCGCACTGAGTATGTGTATTGGGGGTAAGTTGTGTTGTTTCTCCTCTTCTCACTAAGTGCAGGGAGCCTCTGTGTTCCCACTTTCACTCTTTGCCTACTCTCTGCAATGACTAACAGCCAGATGGGGTCATTTAATTTAAATAATCTCTTCTTTTTAAAGGCCCATGGACTCTTAAATGGATTCAGATGTGACTGACAGACGTGAACTTTTCGATCCGGAACATTATTTTTTTCGTTCTCCCTTCGGCCTCTCATCATTTTTTCACAGCCCTCCATTCAGGAACATTTCATGTCTTCTGTTTTCAGCGCTTGTATAAAAACTGTAAAATTGTTTTAAAAAAAAACAAAAAAAACATGAGAAGTTACAATGACAAGACTGTGTTTTTTTTTTGTTGCCTCATGCAGTCTATTCTGTACACTCAGTAAAAAGTCAACAGCAATACTGACTTGTCTGGAGAGTGTGACACGTCAGCCAGGGGCTTATTACCGCTCGTTCCCTCAGTGTGATTCAAGCTTCAGTGTAAATAAAAGATTTGTTGTTTGGCTCACAAACCTTGTCTCCTGTTTTATGGTTCGTTGTCTCTGGAAAGAGTTTTGGACGGGCCCCAAAGTCTCTGAAAGGATGCATCAGATGCAGAAGCAGCGATATATTATGACGGGCAGCGGTGCTCTGTGATTAGATGCTGAGAGGAATGAAATGTGGCATCGCTGATAGGAGAGCAGGCGGTTCAGATACGGCTGACAGCTGGAGGACATGGTTTACGTATCGGGGTTCGATTGGTTTCCAGTCGAGGAGCCTGGAGTCGCTTGGCCAGCAGGTGACGATGCTGCCCCGAGGTGCAGCTGTGATTTACAGTCACAGATGTGAGAGAGCTGCTCCTCTCCCTCTTCTCCAACCACATGTATGCAGCAGCTGTAACTGTGAAGAGGCGTCCTGCCGAGGCTAGAGAGCATTAATATGGATCAGCCTCCTAACCGCATCATCAAGCCTCTCACACTGAGTTAAGTGTTAAATTCATCTCGCATCGTTTCATCTCTCGTGACGATCAAACACCCGTTTGTGGCTCTTGATGGAACTCTTAGATTCACAACACTCACACATACACACAAACACACACACACTTCTCCACTATCCCTGACACACACGCACAAACACACCGCCCCCATCCTTACCCCCTACCCCCGCCTCGGGCGGCTCTGTGACATCAAAAGGAGCTAAGCGCTTTGCATCGTGGGTAAGATCTGGGAGCGTGACGGCTACAGAGTCTTTAGTCTCATTAAAGAGTTCTAGAGCTGCAACTCTCACATTAAAGAACTCTGGAAAACTTCTCTGTGCTCATCCCTTTGGAGCAGCTCCCACATGTGACACGTGTGAGGACTGGAAAGTGGCTCAGAGTGGGCGAGAGGAGAGAGAGGGTCTTTCTCAAATTTACAGAATAAAAGTGACAAACATTTATTTACAGAGAGGTTATTGAGTGCACTCGGTCATTAAGAGAGAAAGAGGCTGTTTACTTAAAAACGTTTTATTCAGTGATATTGCACTTTGAAAAAGATCCTTCAACGCATAAACAGAGAAATGCATTTAGATTAAAGTTTGTCCGATAAGCGTACAGTTCATTGTTTTAATGAGAGCTACTCATGGAGGCAACATTGGAAAAAGACAAAATTGCAGAATTAAGGAATAATTCTCACACGAAGTTCAAACAGTCAGTTCTACTGAAGTCAGCGGACTGCTATTAAAGTATGTTTGCAACCTAGACGTGTATTTACATGAACAAGCAAAGAATTAATGCAAAAGAAAAAGAACTTCTATAAATACAAGCTGTTCTGCTCCCCGAAGATAAATGTGGCATTTTAATATTTGGATTCAATACAGATGTCATTGGGCCTGACCTGTTTTATTTTTACCTTTGCGTGTTCTTTTGAGAAGAATCAACATTCTGTATCTTGCACATTGTGCAAGCCAACATCTTCCTCAATTTTTCCCTAATATCCCCTCCCCTGGACCCTGATCCCTTCCTTCTTTCCTCCCTCCACTCCACCATCTCCCAGGTGTTTGCGTCTACACCAGCCCCATAATGCGAGCCACCCACCAGTTGCAGGGCATGATGACTCTGCAGGCCACCCTGCAGCCCTGGTAGTGATACGGCCAGGGATGGTACCCTCCCAGCGGCTCGCAGATCCTCTGGCAGTGGGTGTAACCACGTCTGCACTCATGGCAGCATATGCCCTGGTGGTCCAGCATGGGGTCAATGTTCATGGGGCCCTGTTCCCCCTCCAGGCCTCTCTGAGGGACGACAGAAAAGATGATCTTAGTGTGAACAGTGTTGGATCACATACTGCTAAGTGAAACTGTACGTGTTTAGCAGCGACGAGGGCTCATTTCAAACCAATTAAAAATGGATTTCCGACAGGCGAGATGGGGAAGGAGGGGATGTTGTCAGATGTGGGTTTTTGTTGTCAAATATTTTCTTCTTCAGCCTGCTGCGTGCTGTTTACCCCCCTCAGTGGTTGTCAGGAGTGTGTAGAAGGAGATGTGGGGGATGCTTACGGGGGGGAAGGGGAGGGGAGGATTGTGAAAAATAGGGCTCAACATAAGGGTGAGGATGGAGGGCACGGGGGTGTGTATGTATAGGAGTCTGTGTATGCTCAGCAGGGCAAAGGGGCTGAGGGGGAAGAGGGGGTTGTTGGGGAATTATTCATTCTGCCTCAATGCTGAAAGGAAAGCTTTGGACAGCCTCACATGCAGAGGGAAACACAGCCACGCATACACTCAGATTTGCAGTGACAATCCGGGCCTCTCCGCCGTGACCCCGGCATCTGCTGCCGCTCACACAGCTGTGAGAAACTCTCTTCTGAAAAATCCCTCTCAGGTAGCCTTCAGATCTGAACGGACAGCCCGGGACGCTGTAAACAAACCAGGAGAGGAGGAATGTGTGTGTTTTTGTGACTCACCTGATAGGGGTTCTCCGGGTTGAACTCTGCCTCCACGTCCTCTTCCTCCTCCCCGGCCACGACTGCCTGGCGGCGCTGGCGGGAGGCGACGGCCCTCCTCTTCCTCGGGCCGCCTGCACACATCACATTCTCAGTATATGACAGCAGACCAAATTTAGGAGCGCAGTGGCACTAATGTGGCTCAGCTCCTGATTGCACTGCTGTTTCTCTGGCAGCATTTTTGAAGTCCTCAGATGAAGGCGAATGAAAATTGTGTTTTGAGAACTTTTGACCTCGGTATGCTAAAAATTGTACTCTCGGTAGCTCGGAAACTTCAAAAGGACTTCTGCTTTTCTTTTTTGAGACTGTTTTTCCTTCTGCGTCTTTAACAGCTGCGATGTTAAATGGAAATTATTGAGACCGTTTGACCTGCCATCCTCTGTGTTTTGTAAAGAAAAGAAAAAACTGTAGCCTTGAAATATCAGCGTCATTTTTTTCACAAGCTGTCTGGTTTCTTACTGGTTGAGTAGGTGGGACGGAGCCAGAAGATTGGCAGATCTCCACACAGGTCCTTTATCTTACTGCTAAGGAAAGCCGAGTCCGAGAGGGGAGCGTCAGCCGCCACCCAGATCAGATCGTCCTCAAATTTGGCCGGCATCACCTCGTCCTCCTTCAGGGGTAAGAAAGTGAGAAAAACAAACATCACACCAAAACATCAGAAGACGTACCCGGCTGCTGGCGGCGTATCATCACACTTGTTTATGGATCTTGTTACCAGCGTCTCCCTTTAAATAGCCCACAGTGTTTGCATCTTGTCCGAGTCTAATCTGCATTAATGCTGCGCTGTTAATGCTCCTTACAACAACAACAAATCAAATAGTAAAAAGAAGCCCCAGAGGCTTTAGTATACAGATTATCCTTGCACTAACTGTTAACTGTATACACAATGTCAGGACTCATCAGGATCTGAAGGGGAGGAGAAATTGGATGGCCTAAATTTGCAGGTTTCTGCAGAGAAACTAATGAGGTTTTCAGAGGAGAGACAGTGTAAACATACAGACTCTGAATCCACAGCCTGCAGGTAAAAAGGGGAATTCTGCAGGGAGGATTTTACCCAGAGGCATTTGTTCCTGCGGGCCGCTCTGCACTCACCACACATGTTAAGGGAATGTTATCCTCCAACCTTTCCGATTTTTTTTTTTTTTCCAGCTCAAATGATTTGCTGCAGGGACAAATAAAAGTGAGGTCCTTCTCCACCGCTCCAACGATAAGAGTTTCTGACCCACTCTCTTGCTGGATGTGTGTGTATCTGTGTGTGTGCGTGCGTGCGTGCTTATCTAACCCATATTTGCCATCACTCTAAATTATAGCAAATGACCAGCCTGCAGCAACCATTATAACAACATCTCCCTGTCTCCACACACACAAACTCTCTCTCTCTCAAACACACACACACACACACACACACACACACAGACGATCCTGAACCAAACGATCATTTATGAGGCAAAAAGAGGCAATAACACAAACACACAGAAAAGAGCAAACGTGAAATAAATGATCCTTTATGAGGCGGAGAGAGGCAATAAGAGCAGCCCTGCGTGATAATTAATTGTGTTTGTGTGTACGTGTGTGTGTACACGTGTGTGTGTGTGTACGTTCATGATGCTGATTCTGGTGAAGTGGATTTATGTGGATGTGAGGCTTATGCAGAGCTAAATGATTTTAATTATCAGGCAGCCTCAATTGAACAATCACTGGCCGGGTGGTTGGTGTGTTGTGATAGCAGAACACACACACACACACACACACACACACACACACACACACGGTTTATTCAGTCCACCAAGCTGTTAAATGATGGGAACCCACACATAAAAATTACTTAGGTGTTACTCGTAGATTGTCAGCTGCAGTGATTCATCCAAACAGCTTCTTATGAAAAGTGGAACCTTAAAGTGTATCTCCAAATGTATCAAACAAAGCAGCGCAGTAACACAATTGCTTAAGAATATTTTACATAGGGTTTATAAGGTGCGACAAGACGCTCTCTCGGTTGCCGATTACAAATGTGTTTATTTTTGCTTTGAAAATCTACAATTTTTGCTAATAATTATGGTTGGTTGCCAGTTTTGAATTGTCTGATAAAACATACTAGGGAATACTATCATCAAACAGTCTATACTGCCCACTAACTCAACTGTCAGAATGCTGTTAACAACATGCTAAATGGGGTCACATGACCTCCTCAAACACTTGTTTCATGGTCTAGCTGCGTTGGATCAGCTAGCACTGAGCTAGAAGTCAACAGCACAACAGCAATATACATTAATTTGTTACTAATAAAGCAACGTTGTCATTTCAATATAAATTAACAAAATCCATCCATTATCTATTTCAATTTTCCCGTTCAGGATGGCGGGGTGGGT